TTAGTAATTGTTATTCAGCGTGAAATTGTTGTACATTTTTATTGAACTAAAAGTAGAACTACCGTCATACAGGCGGAGTTAATCGCCATACAACTTCCCGCTGACGTTATTGTCAGATCCAACTTGGTAGGTAAGACTTTTACAATTTATACTGACAGTAGACAAGCTATTTTAGCCCTGAGTAGAATAACAATTACCTCAGGACTTGTTATGGGTTGTCATCTGACATTGGAGAAGGCCGCAGTGCATAACTGTGTCATACTTCAATGGATAAAAGGACACTCGACTTGTTCAGGTAACAAACACGCTGATAGGCTTGCCAAAAGGGCTGCCAAGCGAGCGCCATGTTCGCCTGAACCGATAATCGCTCCGTCCTTATCAACTCAGATTGAGATAATTAAAGATTTTACCCACAAAAAGTTCATGAACTGGTGGGATAGGATTAAGGGTTGCCATCTGTCTAAGGAAGTATTACATTATCCTTCAGCAGAGGCAGCCTTGTCTTTCGTAAGGCTTGGTAGAAACGCTCTACGAACTGTAACGGGACTCGTCACGGGTCACTGTAAGGTAAACAAGCATCTTTATAACCTTAAGCTTGCTATTAGTCCTCTCTGTCGCCTCTGTAAAGAGAGCGAGGAGACGGTTCGACACATCTTGTGTGAATGCCCCACTCTGCAAGACCTCAGAATGAGAGACTTCGGAGAGGAATGGCCGACCACAGATGGCATCAGGAACACACCTCTGAGCTGTATCCTAGCCTTCGGAAATTCCTTAGGCTGGTTGATGTAGCTGGAGACAGTGTAGGAGGATGTACAAGGGGCCCGTTGGGGCCTAGGTGCTGTGTGCGTAGCATACCCTCCGCTTTCCTACATACATACAAGTAGAACTAACACTAGACCTAGGTCCTAGAACTACAAACATTCTAGGTCTAGAACTACAAACATTCTAGGTCTAGTGTTAGTTCTAATGTTGGTGTTAGTTCTAGTTTTAGTTGTTATTCAACTTTAGATTGTTGTATATTTTGATTGAATTAAAAGTGGAACTAACTTTAGACCTAGAACTAGAAACATTCGGGATTAGCCGTCTTAAGAGACGAACGGCTAAACCCGAATGTTTCTAGTTCCAGGTCTAACGTTAGTTCTGGTGACAGTGCTAGGAAGCGCTAGATATCACTATGTTCTATATTTTTATTGAACTAAAATTAGAACTAACACTAGACCTAGAACTAGAAACATTCGGGTTTAGCCGTCTTGAGACGAACGGCTAAACCCGAATGATAGTCAGCATTAACATCACAAATGAGCCTTCTTGTACACCTGTTCCCGGGATGTAGCAGTCCTCATAGATTCTGCCGTCCTTGGTGTAAATATAAAGCCACGAAGACTGAATTGATACCTGTTCGAATTTATAAGCCAAAATTATTCATATAACGGACTTTTGGTTATCTTCTGTATTATAAAAAACTTTTTTCTCTTTATGTGATGATAACATTTTAAAGTTGTGCTTCGATATCAATTGAGAAAAAATGCCTCGAGTGTGACATTAATAAGTGGGTTGTTTACGAAGCTAGAAACGATCTATATAATATAGAAGAGTAGCTTATGTCATCACTAAATTTGGCTCTGCGGGTCGGTTTAAATTTATAAGGTCAACGCGACAGTATGGGGAGTATATTAATTATAACAATTTACGCTAATTCTGATAGATAACCCTCCTGCGTTCGAACGCAAAGTGGCAATTAATCCGTGAAACGGTCGACGCGTCACGTCGAAAAATAGTCTCTCTTATTTGTACAGTTATTTATGAAATTGTATTACCTTAATTGGAATAATAAGGCTGAGTAATGAAAATGACCCACTTCCTTTTTTCGTGTTGTCGTTTCAATCGGACAAAACGAAATGAACCGAACGGACCGTATGTTAACTGTTTTTCTTCGACAGAGTGCGGCTCGTAATTCGGGTTTAAACGATGCCGAGCTATTTACGATTATCTTTATATTAAAATTTATTGTGCCGCATTCAAAACATTTTTTATTAATCCGCTTCAAGTTATAAATTTATCCGTGGAATATTTACGATTATTTCGCCCCATAGGTTATGCTCTCCGCGGTGCAGTAACGCATCAAGATCACCTTGAATTACACCTGTTGGTCTTTTCCGCTCTTAACCTTGAATAAGGTCAAAAGGCATCATTGCGCCGCAAGCCACGCTTCGTATCGTACCTACATCTATACAAGACATAGAAACCAAAACGTTTAATTGAGATTGCAGATCTTTTTAACTCCCTCGTTAGCATTGTAAATATCGATTCTCATCCATTGGTAATTAATGTCACTCTTCTTAAAGTTACAGCTACAACGATGCTCACAGCTGACTAAATTCTTTTCCGATAAGGACATCGTCACTATTTTTCAACATTCCAAAGTATACTACCACTAAAGATACGGTTCTTTTATGGCGGCGGATTTAGATAAAACCTTTTATAGTCATATACCAAACAGTTTATTACTGGTGAAAGTCATTTTTTTATAACATACCAAGCTAATTTTATCTACTTTAGAATTTACATTTATTTGCTTTTATATAGATAATATTTATATGTTTTAAGTGTGAGATTTTTTGAATCATATTATAATAAAAATCTATTATTATAACCTTGAGTAAGAAAACTCAACTTGAGGAAGGGAAGATATGGATTTCATAACAGATATCTGATCGGCTTGATTGGAACTTTGGATTAAATTGCAGTAGGTTTGTATCCTCAAGATATATCAAATTTGCATAAACACGAATTTTTTGCCAATCTATTTTATTATTTGTGTAACCGTTAAAGAAAATTTCACCTTTCCAGATAGATAGAAGTTTACAAAACTTGTATCGGATTTTCAAAAGTGTGATCAGAGTCAACTTGTTAACTACACATCCATTTCCATTATAAACAAGGTTGTAATGCTTTTTGACTGATTGTAAGTAGTTAATTCAATTATATAAATTAATTAGTAGGTAATTCTATCAGTTAATTCCATCATCATCAACTAGGCCACTTTTTGCTAGTTAAATGATATCCTTAATGATTGAGATCAGTTTGTTCGGTGACTCTTCAAGTTGAATTGGTTTCCTAAAGACTTCGTTGGTGCTTTGCGAACTTTAATGGCGAATTAGGACAATATCCTCAATATATGCTAGGTAATTGCTAGATAAGTATGTGTGCTATAGATGATTAGAATAAGATCAATTAGTTCCAATTTTGGTAACGTTACACAACAAGATAAATCAAGACCATAAAGCTAATGGAAGTGGGACATACAATTAAATACAGTGTGTTAATTAATTATCGTATCCGACGTCGTCATTGCAAGTATGCAACCAATATCACAGTATTGGTATTGCAATATAGCATTTGCGCAATACCAATACTGTGATATTGGTTGCATACTTGCAATGATGAGGTCGTGTACGATAATTAATTAACACACTGTACATACATTAACATTCTAACTTTGAGATGTTATTAAAATACAAAGATTTAATAAACATATTACGTATTGCTAGGAATTTAAAAAGTGTTTTTATTAGCTATAATGTAGAATACAATGTGAACGGTATATTACAGATGCTACGAGTTAATCTTATTTAAAGAGTCGTCATGTATAAAGTTAAGTTGAAAACGACGAGGCGTTACATCGGGTGTCAACGTCATCACCTGGTGACGGCAGTAAAAGACCATCAGGACGACACCGACCGTAGTCGTCGGTCGTAGAAGAGATTAGCCGGGCGTTAATTGTCGCCTCGGTCGGCCTCCGGGAATGGCATGAGGAAAGAGGGTGGATGCGAGGAACGAGGGGCGACCAGGATAGCGTGAATGGAGACGTCCCGTAGCGTCCTCTGGTATTCCAATGCGTTGGAGTGAGACGGAGAACGCGTGACGTCCCGGTTCGCGTGGCTCGGAAGCGGCGCTCCCGTCGGGATCACGGCCCGGAAATGGGCAGACATCGGTTAGAGGTCGGTAAGCCGCCCGCCGCGTGCCGACCCGCTACGTGTTGATACGCGTTCTTGTACGGGACACCATCACCCGACACCGACGGTTGAACCCGATGCCGACGCTGTCTACTGGAACCCTCAATGTTGTCGGTGCTGGTCCCGGAGGCGGCTTGGCATCGTCCCTTACGACCTGTTTACCAGACGACTTTATCGGGAGGGCGCGTCCTAGCGATAGTAACTCGCTTTTTTGTGCGTGTGCTCTTCTCAACGCTATCCCGAACTTATCCCGACACCCGACGGAGGTCATTTCGACGGTTCGTTTCGCTTTCACCGCCCTCGTTATGTCCTTTTCCCTATCCAACATCTACTTTCATCATCCGTCGGTTCTTGTTTCTCACCCTCTGTGTTTTCGATCCCTTTTCTTATCCACTTGTATAAATTGTTTTGTTGACAAATAAATCTCTTTTCTTTTGATGTTTCTAATCATTTTATATATTAATATTATCTATGAATCATTATAAATAATTACAGCTTACTTAAACATTAAGAATCCGGATATAAGCAATTAAAGTTTTTAAGATAAGCCATTAATACACACTAAATATCTAATCTACATCTAGTTATTACTTTCAAATTACCTACAATCAAGTAATAACTCCAATCAGTTAAGAAGTTAATGAAGCTATATTTTACCGAGTTCTTTTTGTAATAAAAACAACGAACAAGAAGTAGAAAAAAACCATTTGCCTGAGTAACAGCGACGTATACCACAATTGATGGCATAAATAAACGTCATGGTCGTAATCAGAGCGTAAAGTTAATAGGAGAAAACGTATTTTGAGTAAGTGGCATAATAAATTAATTGTAATTTCAGTTAAAATAATTCGTAAAGCGACCCGCCCGGTGGTAATGGGAACAAAGAGAAACGCGTCCAATTCGGCGAGGCTTTATTAAATAAAATTCGAGGTGATTTCACACTCCACTAAATACAATTACAGGAACATCTCCCGCGTTGTAAGCCTAAGTAAGTCTTGCGTAAGCCAAATCAACGTCTAATTTCACAGATGGTCCAATCGCGCTTAACCATGAAACTACCAAGTTTTTGCTACTCAAGAACATACGTTGTAACAACTCGGCGGTTTTGCAAGGATGCAACGTTAGGAATGGTCTTAACAAAACTGGATGATCCAATTGAGTTAGAGTTGAGTACATGTCATCGGAATCATCGAAATTTAATATTTTCCAACAATCTTCCATTGAAAGTAAAGTTCCATCTTGTCTCCAACAGTTCAAACATAAAATTGGGGTTGAATAAGATATGCTGTAAGCAATATGGTATTCTATAGTGATTACCAAGCTTTCAACTTCAATTACTTTCTTTTTTGTTAGATATGATTGATGTAATTCTTCTGATTTATGTAAAATCCAATTATCGTTAATCTCGTCTGATAAAGTTGTAAATTCTTCAATGTTTCTTTTGAAGTCTTCCCATGATATATGCATCATGCTTAAAAATAGAAAAAAAAAGAAATCACTTTCAAATAAATTTAAAATTGAAACGATAATATTAGAAAGGAGTTTATATTTAATTTTGTTTAACTTTAAAAGTATACGCAAATCATTTCTGCCTCAATGGTTATACCCCAATTCTATGGGAGATAATACTCAGCGTTGGGGAAGTTTTTATAAGCCACTTGCCGACGTCGTTTCAGCTTGCCACAAAGGGGTTGCGTTTTTTAATTAGAACCATCCCTTTCGTTTTATAGGGTAACAAAAGTATTCTATGATGGGGTGAAAAATAGAATTGTAACCCATTATTTAATACTGGATTAAAAATTAATTATACATTAAGATTGTTTTGAATGAGTTTTAAAAGAATCTTAGATATTATGGAGTTTTGCAGTTGTATAACGACGGCAATTGGTACGATGACATCAAGCATAATGGCCGTATTTGCTTATGGGACGGTTGTCGGAGGTCTCTCTTTATCCTCGTCTCTGTCTGTCGGGAGAGTCGCGTGCGCCGAAAATACAACGCCAATGGAAACCTGGATCTTTCGCGTCGCGCGCGCTCTCTGTTTTCTCTTCATTTCGACATGGCGCGCGCAGCAACATACCGAGCTATTACAGTAAGAAAACAGACATATAAAACTGAGAGCGGGTTAGGGGTTGAGGGACGTAAAAATCAATATCCCCGGGGCTGCTAAATCACGCTTATCAAGAGCACTTTTACCCCCTCCGGAACCGGCGGCCGCCGCCGCCGACGCCACCACCTCCAACCCCCCAACGTCCCTCCGCGAGGCTCCCCGCGACGCGGCCCGCCGCCCCGCGCGCTACTACAAAACATTCAATTTGAACGTCAAGTTAAAACGAAATGGATTTTGCAGCGGCCCGAGAGAATGAGATTTAGATTTCAAATTTCGTTCCAATGGGGCCGTGAATGTTTCTGACTCGGACACCAATGTACGCACACGTGTGTTTAGGTTTAAGGAAAACGTTTAAGGTTTCTTTTTTTTTTCTAGACGAAGGAAGCAATTTGTTTTGCAATATTCAATTTGAAAGTACTTGTGCAGGAACAATAGTAAAAAAGTACATTTCAACTTTTAAGAGAGAAATAATGTTAATCCTATATTACACAAGCAGGAAGAATAAATATTGGACCAAGAGGATCTATTCAATGCTATTTCTACAAAATAACTTAAACTGTTCTTAACTCTATTATTGTTGGAAAGATACCAGAAAGTGTGTCAAAATCAAATGCAAAAATAAAAGTTGGATATAGTTCACAATTGAGTCGTAAGAGAAACTTTTGGAATACACAAAGGTAATTCGTGATTACCCCAGCTCCGACACTTTTGGAGTTCCAGCTTGTTGTATGGTATCGTCTCGGTCGGAGAGGAACTGCGGAATTGAGCAGTTTGGACATAAACCCATCAATCAAGCTTCTTGCTTCTAAATTCTGAACTGCTGCAAAAGTAAGCTCATTGTCGAAGATCGCTTGACATATATCATCGATAGTCATTGATAAGTCAGATGCGTTGTTGTTTGATCATGAACCAGTTTTTAATCAGTTAGTCCGTTGAGGATTTTAATAAGGCGTTTGCTTTGTACAATATTTTTACCCTAAATGGCACAATATCAAGTAATCATCTCCTATTTTTCGATGCTACACATCCATTAGAAAGGTTTATTAAAATTTCTATATGTCGAAACTAAATGTTTAAGATACTGATAAAATACTTCACTCATTGCACAACTATAAATATCTTTTTTTGCTAGTAAAACATGAAATTTGCAATCTTGTCTTCTAACGTTTTCATTATGTGAAGCAAGCGTGCTTTTGTAAACTCGATTAGCGTAACATTAACTTAACGGAACGCTAACATGCTGCGATATCCAATCAAAAAGTGAGAATGGTCGATTAACATTATATAAAACCACTATTAACTCGACAAAGATTTAAAACCGACTCAAATTAGTTTAACGACTTCTATAATTTGCAACAAGTTGATAAAAATAAAAACGCATTAAAAATAATATTTGTTGGTCATTTTTGGTGATATTAAAATATGCTGAATATGTTACGTGCTGATATTAATCGTGTCGATGTAGTTTCAAAAACGTTTTGTAAGTGTGAAAGAGGATAAACGTCCAGTCAGCCGAAAAGTTTTGGGGTCGGAGGTGGCGCCCCGATGACGGTACGGCGACGCCTCGGATTGCATCTCATGCATGAAATTGCAGCCGATACTGTTAACAATTCCTATGATAATTTCGCGAGCGTTCGCAAACAACGGACAATCATGTTATTGCTGGCAGAGGCACCTAACGCGCCGTTTCACTATGCAATTTAGCGACGTTGCGAAGAAACATTTTCCACTAATGGTGTACTTTTCCAGAGGCACGGTGCTCGTTGAATTAATGTTATGGGCGGAGATCTTGAACGTCCAGATGGTGTCGATTTTGTTAATTAAATGTCCTGAAAAATATCTATATATAAATTGTTTTGCTTTTTTTGTTTAGCGTAATCGATTTCTTTTTGTGAGAGAAAATTATGTTGTTTACAAACAATATATTTTCAAGGAAAATTCTTGAAAATCGATATTAAGTTCAAATTTATTCGACATGATAAAACTGTCTACTCCTATAATAGAATTCCTTATATATTATGAATAAAAGTAAACAAGTTAACTTAAGTAGATAAAATATGGTGAAAGTTCTAATGTTCGAAGTGTGTTTGTACTTCCCCTTCGCCTTCCATAAATCAGGTCGTCCTCCCCACAAATAAGCCACCGGAGGCACAAACATTGATTTGCGTTTTGCCAAAATCGCACAGAAGGAAATTTCCGTCGGGAAGAAAAGTTTCGCGAGAACTTCTGTATAAAAAGGCCCCGAACATTGTATTGATTTGTCGAGAACTTATTCTCGGAATTTGTGGAAAAGTTTTTTTTCTTTTGGTGTTGACAAATCGTACATTTATTCGCGTGGCGAGTGCTTTTGAGTAAGGACTGGGGGCACACACTCGCCTCGGTGGATTTGTCGTTATAGAATTTATAAGTATATATCTCGTGAGATCACGATATTTATCGGGCGCCCTGCCATGTTTGGAAACTTCCGGAATCGACGGTCACATTATTTTAAATAATCCATTAAAATGTCCCCAACAGACTCCGCGAAAGTTTAAGTTCGATATTTTACCGAGGTTATATTTTCACGAGATATGGACTTTTTAAATCTCTTAAACCAAACTCAACTCTTTGATAAAGTTTTATACATTCCTTTTATAAGTATTTGAATAGAACTTTAAATTTAATATTTAAACAAATTTTTAGTTTGGATTCAAAGAAATGGTATAAATAATACAAAAAAGCTAACTTTTAGATGATTTAAAACAAAAATTTACCTTTTAAGATCAAATCCTGTAAACGTAATCGGAGATATCCTGAAACAATAAAAAAATTACGATAAATAAATTTAGTTTATTTAATTAAATTTAATTAAATAAACCGCATTGATGGTTTTACAAGAAATTTAACTAATTTACATTTACATAAAACATAATTTCAGTTAATTAACACGTCAGTCAAACTAAAAACATATTTAGAAAGTCTTTCGGCCTCAGGTGATGGTGTTAATGAGAAATTGACTGAACATCTTTTCATTTTACATTTCAAACTTATTGCGCAATATATTGCGGTGAACTCAATTAAATACAGAATACGTTTGAAGTAAAATTCATATAGAATCCGTTAATGGAGTTGGTGGATTTGGGATTGCCGATTACACAATGTTGCGGTTTCCAGGAATTTTTAATCGGATTAATATATAGATATAATGACATGTAGAGGTAAATTGAAATTTTTGATACATATTTATATTCCAAATCTAACATCCTTATGTATTTTAATTTAATACCTTTTTTAAAGAACATTTCATTTCATAGCCTTTCTATTTACTTTGTGTGTGGCAGTAAATCATATAAAATTGCTCGCTCGAATGAAAAACACTTACAGTTATATTCTGTTATTATACTTTTAAAACTGTAAATTGTCAATTTAGATTATTCGGGACAGAGCAACAGTCGGGTCCCAGCTGGGAACATGACTTTCAAATTAGGACAATGAAATCCCCCCCCCTCATTACGTCCCGTATTCATACGACGACGACGCACGGTAGACGTAAAATTAATTATAATAACAGAGAGAACGGATTATGAAGTCACAAACGCGCGTTTGCGGAGACGTTGCCACAACGCGTACTCTAATAGAGTTTGCGTTTCAAATAGTTCCTTAATTACTCAGATTCAAATTGAAACGATCAATTCTAATAATAATGTAATTGTACTATTAAAAATAACAATTGCAAAATGTTCAACTAACAGAAGAATTTTTTTACAATAAAATTGAGCTATATTACAAGTGAGTTCAACACATGGAACATGTCAATGACCCATCATCGAATCCATTCAGTTTATATTAAATTTATAGATACTGCAAACTTTTATAATATTTTTGATACGGTAGCTATGCAAAAGCAAGAATTAGACTTGGAATAGAAGATGCGGTTTTGTTTCGATAATTGCCATAAACAATTAAAATATCTTGGAATAACACTGAACAACATATACCATCGCATTAATTAGGTTCTCCAGATTTAGAGAGTTCCAAGCAGATTTCTGACAGAATCAGCATTTCATAAAAGGAAACGTGAAAACTGAACTGAATTTCTTTGGTCCAACAAAGAAGATAAAATTTTTAATCATGCCACAACAATCTTTATATAGGTATAGAAGCAGTGCTTTAACAAATTTTGAATCAAAAATTCGCAAGGCAACAAAATTATTATATTAGGTTTAGTGTTTTTCTTACCTCCTTAGGCGACCTGATACACTTTTATGGATTTTAGTAAACCTGGGTGGCACTCCTCATGCAGACACACATTCGAAGCAAACAAATTATGAGGAACAGTGATGACCAGACGGTTTACTCAACGCAGATTACAGATTGA